TTCCATCATCACCCGCATCCGCCATGCACTCCCCACCTTTAACACCGGCGGGCACGTCATCTCGCGAAGAGAGGGCCAACGCAGAGGGACACAAGAAGCGCCCCAGCGATCCCGCCATGATGACGCCTCAGGTCTCGCCCCCGCACGAAGCTCCGCCAACGTCAATGGACTCGTCCGTGCAAAGTCCAAACGAAAGCCAATCTTCCTTACCAGTTCCCGGTTCTCCTAGGACCGCACCGCAATCACCTCGCCCTTCGTCCGATCTGTCCGGCGTAGTCCAGCCGCACCCAAAGCGCGGGCCTGCGTTTACAATGGGCCCTACTGGCGACTCAAATCCGGCTTCCCGGGATGCTAGTCCGGCAGGATCCGGAGGAGAGCGTACGCCAGGAACGTCAACTCCAGCACCTGGCTCTCGGCCATATACGCCACAGGGCGACAGGGACGATACCTATGCACGCTCGAAACGCGCGGCGCAATCGAGAAACCTGGATTCGCTCGAAGCCCGGTACATCTATGGTGGACGCGATGGGCGCAACTCGGCAGCATCGTCGATATATCAGCTACCCCGCTCCAAAGGAACTGAGTCTGATCAGGAACAGAGCAAAAGAACTAGTATATTTGGAAAGAAGAAGACTCACTCCGATGCGGAAGACAGCAAATCGCAAAATGGCAAACAACATCATGGATCCATGTCCGAACTGAAGCGCTTCTTCAAGATTGGACACAAGAACAAGGACAAGGATAAAGAGAAGGAAAAGCGCAAAGAATCCCCTGCGCCGTCGGTCAAGAGTGCGAAGATCAAGTCGAACAAATCAGGGACCATGACACCACCGATCACGAACGGGGCTATGAGCGTACCATTCGCTGACGATCACGGCCTTCAGAGCAAGTACGGCAAGTTCGGAAAAGTGCTGGGCTCAGGAGCGGGTGGGTCAGTCCGACTCATGAAGCGAAGCAGCGATGGCACCACATTCGCTGTCAAGCAGTTCCGGAACCGTCATTCATATGAGTCTGAAAAAGACTACAACAAGAAGGTGACTGCCGAATTCTGTATAGGCTCGACGCTGCACCACGGAAACATCATCGAGACTATGGACTTGGTGAACGAGAAAGGCGCCTATTATGTGGTGATGGAATACGCACCTTATGATCTTTTCGCTATAGTCATGACTGGAAAGATGAGTCGCGAAGAGGTTACCTGCTGTACCTTACAGATCTTGAACGGAGTGACATACCTCCACAGCATGGGTTTGGCACATCGAGATCTGAAGCTTGACAACGTCGTGGTCAACGAGCACGGAATCATGAAGATCATCGATTTCGGGAGTGCTGCTGTGTTCAAGTATCCATTCGAAGACGAGATTGTACTTGCGAGTGGTAAGTCTGTTATACCTTTCAGTAAAGCTCCTTCTAACCCCTCCAGGTATTGTCGGCTCGGATCCATACCTCGCTCCGGAAGTTTACGACCTTTCCAAGTACGATCCGCAACCAACGGACATCTGGTCTCTTGCCATCATGTTTTGCTGCATGACGCTACGTCGATTCCCATGGAAAGCACCGCGCATATCCGACAATTCATACAAGCTCTTTGTGTCCCCTCCCAACGATGGACCGAGATCGATCACAGGCCCCTCCAAGTCGGCCACTGACCTCCAGCACAGCGCAGGCGACGATCGCCGCCAATCAGGAGTCATATCCGAACCTGCGTCTCGACACCAAACTTCAGAGCATTCTGCCGACCATCGCGCTTCAACATCGTCGACGAGCCAGCAGCCACCGCAAGTGATCAAAGGGCCATGGCGCCTTCTGCGTTTGCTGCCCAGAGAGAGTAGGCATATCATAGGCAGAATGCTCGAAATCGATCCTAAGAAGCGCGCGACTCTCGATGAAATCCTCGAAGACAAGTGGGTCACTGGTAGTGCAGTGTGCACACAAGAAGAGGGCGGGAGGGTGCTCCGATGTGATAACCACGACCATACGCTCGAGCCAGGCGCAGGCGTCGCCTCGGCACCAAACACGCAACAAAAGAAATGAGCGTCGTTCCCGAACCCGATGAGGGTATTCTTATTTTTCCATATTGGCGTTTGGACGATTAGCAGGCGGGTGTTTACAGGCTCTTCCTGTCCGCATGATATGAGGTGTTCCGGCCCGATTAGAAAGGCGGTTCTTCTGCTCTTTGATTCTCACGCGTTTCGTACGCCTTTTTGTAATACCTTGAATGTTGTCATGTCAATACCAAAGATTGACGAGACCAGTATATGGAAGCTACGAGCCAAAAAAGTGTGATGGAGTTTGGCGTATGTAAATAACTGCGAGCCTCACGGACAAATGTACAAAACGCGATCAACAAACCTTCCCCACGTTTGTTTCTAGTGCTTATATGCGGATACCGATGACGAAAGGACGAGCTCCATTCAAGCAGGCCATCTACTTCGAACATCGAACTCCGACCGACGCAATGCTGGTATAGTGTTTGTTTCTGGCCGATTTCTACTTTCCCCAGCCTTCGCTTGGCGTACCGTGCGGCGATCCTGACACTTCGAAACAAGCATCACGCAGCTGACAAGCCCAAAACGCGCGCATTCCCCGTTACTCGAAACGAGCACACGGTTCAGTTCGCTCGATGGAGGATTCTCCGCACGTCAATCTGCGATGTCAAACAAGCCTTTATCCTAATCCAACGGCTTTACTCTGTCTTGTGGAGAAGCGACGCGTGTTTACGCAAGACATGCATGCAATGCCTCAGGTGTGATCTTCTTGATGCTGCGAGTGGATGACTGATGTGGAGAGCACACACGTCAGATCGCAGCATTGTTATGCCAAGCCGGGGCCCAGAGGATAATATATGCACTGTGGTTGGCTGGCAGACGCGAATATGATGCGCGATGTGCGGGAGTTTAGTAGCAGCGATCTAGGCCGATTTCTGAAAGCTGAAATGTGGAGTTGGGGGCTGTTGGTTGGCGAGATGCGTGGGTGTTATACCTCGAGACCTCATCACGAGGGGAAAGCTTATCGCACTAGGTCGCCATACTTGCCAGGAGTGGATTGGGGAGTTTGTCATTTTGGTGGTGTGGGCACTTTTCTTTGCAGAGAGAAGAGTCGTGCAGCAAGCAAGTCTTGCTGTAAACAACATGCGCATCCCACGCCTGTGTCACGATACTCGATGTCGACAAACGCCCGTTCGGCGTCCGGCAGCAACGCGCAAGCAAGTAAAGTGGGTCTCTGTGTATCGTCAATCGAAAGCAGGGGGTGTCATGTACAGCCGCTGGCCGTGGCAAACGAACGTGAAACGAACTACGGTAATACAAGACGCATGCTTGCGCAGTCTCAGCTTGTCCGCTTTGACGCGCGAAGGAAGCGTTTGAGATTGATGCATGAGTGGCCGAGAACGGGTTGGAGGGGTTGTTCAGGGTAAGCGCAAGCGAGCCCCGGCGCGGGACTCGCATGACGAAGATGGAGTGACGGCTGTCATCATGACAGATTTTGGGTATCAAGCGAACCGCGGGTAGCAGGTAGATCTGCCTTGGGGCGAATGAGAGGCGTAGGAGGCAGAGTTGCATGAATTGGAATAGGCCACGGTACGAGGAATCTGGATGTTCCAAGTTGTCCTTGGAAAAGCCACACCAGCATACCTAGGTAGATTCACTTTATTCTTCGCAGTAATGTGCCATCAGAATGCACGAAGGTGTACACATCCAGGCTTCTGTCAGCCTAGAAAGAACAAGCTTCAGCACAAAGGGCCGGGTCTTGCATGTGTTGCATTTTGCAGATAGCCGCTTGTACAAGGCCAAGCTAGAAAAATAGAAACCACCACACCTCTCATCAAAAACCAACAAAGATGCAGACGCACACCAAAACGGATCCGCAGCCTATCCAATCCCGCTACACCGCTCTGGCCGTTGAATTGGTCCCATGATCCAGGTCCGTTTGTGTGCAGTCTTGTTGGCCCTCAAGCGTCTTATCTCTATTGCGGCCCCCAGCCAATGGCCATCGCATACACTTGTCTTCGCAGCTGAAGCACCGCGGACCAGGGGGGGTCAAAAGGTGAGCTCAGGGTGGGCCTGTGAAGATCGTCGTCGCAGCCGGGCAGCGCCTCGACTCCTGCGCTTCGCTCCCACCCGCACGTACGCAACCAAGAAAGTGCGCGGAACGTACCATGACATGGCTTGTGCGTTTGTGTTGGACCCGCTTCGTGCGAAAGAAAGACCCCGTTAACGCGGGAAATCGTGTGTCTGAAAGGATCTGTGTTATAGGTGTCTTGGCTTGTAAGCCAATACTTTAACGCACGTTTTCCCACTTGTTCGCGATCTGGATTTTTTGGTTGTCTGGCTCTTGCTTCTAGCCTCTCGTAACCTTTCCACATCTACGTACCCAATTCCCGCCGCACTTTGCACCTTACTTCATTTAATTACTCTGTCTTCCCTTTCCTGGCTGGTCCGCCCACGTGTTTGACATACGCTTGTATATGTAATCGAATTTCGGAAAGCATTGAGCCTCGGGTATACTATAAGAAGGATGCGTCGCCAACTTCCTCCAAGTCATCTCAAGGTTCCGCCGGGTCCGCATGCGTTTCCAAGACAACAACACTTTTTGGGTCAGGATACGGTTGTCGTGAATCATTACTCGGGTTTTGAAAAGGCGATTCCTGCGATACCGTCTTTACCGGGATTTAGGACAAGTGCTGGTATGTTTGGCTCTATTTGGTTTTCTTGGGGATGGTCGTGTGCTCGGTTGCCGCGACTGGGGTTGTGATGTCAACCATGCAGCGAGTTCGACGCGCGAGATCTTTGGGTACGAATACGAGCTAACGCGCAACAACAGCATTCTTGACGTCGCTGAGCGCAAACCTCAGAATCGATCCTGACCTCCCATCGCCGCTACCCACACCAACGTCGTTTCGATTAAACAACTTCGTCCAAGAACTCCCCTCCACATCGCTGTCCTACTCAACGCTGCCTGCACAGTACAATCCGTACCCTTCGCCCGCCGAATCCCAAGCCATGTCGTCGACCGAACCGGACGCGCCGGCCAAGTCGCCTACGGATGAACTGCCGCAACTCTCTACCTACACTGCTGAGACAGAGGAGGACCGAATCGAAGGCTTGCGCTTGGTCGCAGATTCCGTGGCACAACAGCGCCAGGTCGCCAGCAAGGTCATGCTGTTCCATCCAGTTTCACTAGCCGCGTACTTTGTAGTTGTGGCTTTTGCTGCGCAGTACATGCTACGCTGGTACGAGGACAAAACAATGTTGGCCACAACCATTGGAGGCATCACAATGACTTTCCTCATCTTCATTCGATGGATGACCGGTGGCTATATCGGTATGGCCGAGGACATCAACATGGATTGGCTGGGCGATGACAGGCTCATCGTGGTGAAGTGGGGTGAGGACGTCATCGGATCCTTGGTATTGGGTTGGGCCGATAATGATGCCGCGAAGAAGCGTGGCAGGAGAAGGCGAGGCAAGGCCGTTGTACGCGCTTGGACTGTAAAGTTGAAGTATCGCGGCAAGGGTGTTGGTGGGGGCTTGTTGGAGGAGGCTGTCAAGGTGGCAGGAGAGCGAGGCGCAGATGGCATTGTCTTTGATGCCGACCATGCCAGTAAGATCACGTCTACTCATATCCTCAGGTCATCACTAACAGAACATCAGACTCGAAGCGTATCCTCCCTGCCATCTTCAACGGTTACCTCAACAAGCAAGACGCCAAGGCCGAGAAGGCTCTACAAAAGGTTGCGGACGCGAAGGGCAACTTCCGCCAGCGTCAGAGCTCGCCCACTTGGGGCAGCAGGTAGACATATACCACACTTTTCTATTTCAGGGCAGCAGATGGGGTGGTGTTTTGCTTTCATTTTGGCGCGGCGACGAGTTTTCTACTGGATGATACCCCATTCCTCTCGTTGATGATACCCCAAACGATCGTTATCGTTGCTAGCATCAAGCTTTCCGTGCTTGCTTTTCCATGTTACCGTTTCGGTATCGAGCTCTTGTCGTTATCGTCATCATACAGATCATCAGAGTTATAATAGACGATTACAGAGTAGTATTATTGGTAGATCACAGTGACAGTATCTAGCAGTTCTAGTTGCATAGCGGTCAACTCCGATGACATGATGGCTTGCATCCCGCCTGGAGCTCATAGATTAACATTCACTGATACGGCCGCATACCCGGCTGTTCCGCACACCATCCTCAAACTCTGTGGTTGTAAGCCGGGAAGTTCTTATCGCGACATGTTTCCTGATCCATAGACGTGTGGGAAGACAAGCCGCATGCACTGATAACGATGCATTAACCTTTCGATATCAACACCTTGGCGTCAGATTCCGGTTCGCTGGTAGATTTGCCCCGCGTTGCTCGCTACTGCCCCTCCATGTACAAGGGGAGATTAGGCTTTCCAGGCTCTCCGTCAATGTTGCATGATGCATGCCAAGTATGTACATGCGGAACCGTAGGCGATGGCTTAGCAACGCCGATCTGTAGAGAAGTTGGATGCTGTGCTGATAGCGTTCCAGACTCTTCACGGGAAGGAAGGAACCACCGCCGCTACTGGTCAAACTCCCCCTCTCGCTTTTTTTTCGGTTTGCATGTGAAGTTGCAAGCTGACACACCGAACCGCCGTGCAAGGCTGCACAAGAGCAGTTTCGGACTCCGAGTCTAATCGGATTCAACGCGCGGCTGCACCGGCTTCTGTGTCACCGTCGACTGAACTCGTTGGGTATTCCTCGCGTAGCTGCAGAATGACTTTCTGTGGCACAGTCAGTATATTTAGTACTCGGGCCAAAAAAGCCTCAACTTCAAAGCGACAGTGCGGACCGCGCGCGAGGCGATCTGCTGTTACACCTTGCTGTGCCGCAGAGCTACGTACCGCTAATGCCTCCGGGTTCGCGCCATTCTCGATGAGCGACACGCAGTAAGACAGTTGTTGCCGATCAAGGTGGGTGTTCTGGGGCTTATGTCAGATGCTGGGCGCTTCAGTAAGGCGCGGTGTTTCGTACTAGCAATGTTGCGATTTCATGAAGAATATCGATGACTTCGCGAGCGGCCTTTCGGCGGGCGTCGGCTGAAGTTTGCTCGGCGGCTGGCATCGTCGGTGTACTGTGTAGGTCTGAGGTTCCTTGAGAGAAGACAAGTTCGGAGTTGCGGGGTTTGTTGTTTGTTTACAGTCTATGGATTTATGCAGTTCAAGTCGCGTGTAGGAAAGAACTCCACACGCGGCGCGTTCCGCACGTGAGCTCCTTGGCGCATCTTGCCCCTCCAGGTACTCGATCGGAAAGTCGGTCCTCACAGCACATTTCCTTCACACCAAGATGGTGTTCTGACATCACCATCATTATGACGACAGATGGCCCACTGGTACTCAGGCACGTAATGACAGAGCTTTATAATGAGAGCTCGCGTGCTTGCTGGAATTACTCTGTTGCTAACACACAGCTTCATTTGACCATCTGAACAATTCCAAGTTTCTCAGCGTCTACAAATTTCAAACTAGTTCTTTCAATCGTAACTAGATCAGACATCATGGCACCAGACCCGCACCAAGGAGGCCGTCTAGAAGACATGGCTGCAGAGGGCACAACCATTCCTGGCGATGCTGGCAAGATGAACGTGGTAAGTGGATATCGGATCCAGGTATCATATGCTTCTGTGAAGTACAAGATAATTAACCAAGATTCAGGTTTCACCCTCTGACCACCCAGATCAGACTCACACGAATCTCGCACATGCAGCAGATAACGCTTTCGACATACCGCGCAGTGTGAACGACCGCGGACAAACAGGCGAAGTCATAACTGGTACTGGCGACCAGCTACCCTCAAGTATTGAGAAGAAGAATCTGGATGACGCGGGCTTCGACCCAAGGGCAAAGGGCCACGACCAGTACGCGAAGCATGCTCGGCAGGATAATCCCATGGACAGCTTGAAGCATGGAGCTGGTAGTCATAACGTGGAGGCTGCGCCCGGTGAAGAGGAAGAGAGTCAGGATGCGCTTCTGAACAAGAGAGGTGCGAAGTAGGTGATGCAAGACGTCGCACTTCATGTATATATTGTATGACTTTACGACCGAACAAATAGCCAAGAGGCGCGAAATGAACAATTCGAGAAATCTTACGTTCACTCCCGAGTTGTGATCACTGTGATGTGTTGCATGCATGCTACAGACCCTCAAGTACCTAGGGCTGTGGATACCCCGCTAGACCCCACACGTGCCTTCCATTTTCACGATCCCGGCAACTTTCTCACTTGCTGCTTGACCCAGACACTTGAGATCAAGCGTTCCTGTCCGCAAAATGGTGTACTACTTCTCGTCCAACACGGTGTCGCCGTCAGCCTTTATCTACGTCGGCAAAGACAAGGTTGAGAGTATGTGATTTCTGACCTGCCAGCGTACTCTCAGTGGTTCACGCAACTACAACCGCACATACTGATCACCTCAACAGACGAAGAGCTTATCAAATACGGCTGGGACGAAGATGTCTGGTTTCATGCCGACAACCTCTCTTCGGCCCATATCTACGTCCGGTTACCCGAGGGCGAAGATTGGGAAAACATGAGCAAAGAGTTGCTGGTGGACTGCGCGCAACTAACCAAGGCGAACAGTATTGAGGGCAACAAGAAAGACAACGTCACGATTGTGTACACGCCTTGGAGCAACCTGAAGAAAGATGGGAGTATGGCTGTAGGTCAAGTTGGGTTCAAGGATCAGCGAAAGGTAAGCGCATTGCCATAAGGCACGAAACACTTGCGTCACGTCCCTTGGCTCGACCGCAACTTATTGCTCGATTTGCTGATGGCATCTTAGGTGAAGCGCATACATGTGGAGCAGCGAGAAAATCCTATTGTCAACCGTCTTAACAAGACAAAAGTTGAGAAGTTCCCCGACCTAAGAGAGGAGCGAGAAGCAAGGCGGGCGGAGTTGAGGAAACGAGATCAGAGTACTCTGCAAGCCAAGGTATGTGTATTCCCCGAGTTTCATTATCCTGCTTTGTTCTACATGTAGTGTGTTCGCATGACCCCTTCCTCCATCTACGCCTGTTCTCATGATCTATCCTGTCATTTGCAATCTCTCCGACACTCTATATCCCCTACCACGAGTGTTCTGATCCAGACGCACTCTTTCGGTTCGCACGCGCGACTGCGACTCGCGACTAATGATTTATAGCGCAAAGAAGAGGCCCGTATAGCTAAGGAGCGCAAGGAGCTTGCGTGGCGGAGAGATCATGCCTACGACGATGTCATGACAGAGGAGAGTCTGGAGCAAAACTCCAACGAGAACCGCGATGAGAACTTCCTCGACGACTTCATGTGAGATCTTTACTCGCATTTGTGTATCCCGCAGATGACGTGGGCACCACAGTAGCAATGGTGTCGGCGTAGCGGGGTCGCTTCAACTGGGGTCGCGAACAGTCATGGCTGGAAGGCATAGGCCCATGCTCTCGTTCAACATGCGGATATTATGGTTGAAGGTATCGTACGCGGTGGTCTTGACCTCGAGGTCCTCACGCGTCCTGAAAGAGTCAGCTGCATGACATTGAAGACGGATGAGAAGTGGCTACATACATGGCGTTTTTCGGGTTGTGCTTATTGCGACCTCCATGATTCTGTACCCACCATACGAACAGCAGATTCTTCACTATCTTGTGTTCGAGACCGTTCTGCCTAGTCGCATACTGCAGGAACTCGAGCGTGTTCTGTATCCTCTGTGGTTCATAATCGGTCGCGGAGCCTTTACGAAAGGCTAGGCGAATGCGGTCGCGCAATGTATATCGAGCTGGCTTCGAGAACTGGATAGCTCTGAGACTGTGCCGGTATAGGTGCCTATACGCGTGAAGAACTGCTTGCTGTGACATGTTCTGGAGCCCAAGCACAGCACTTCACGCTGTGACCTCGGATGCTGGGTCGGCGGAAGGTAACGCCGACGCGCGCAGCCGCCACCTGCGCTCCCAGTGCCAACCTCGCCAACTCTTCAACACCACAACACGTACCACCCAACACCCCGCCTGTGCCTTTGCATCGACCGGGGCTTGTAGATACGCAATCCGGATTCGTTCTGGACAATTGCACGACATCGTGACTGCTGCGCTTACCGTATTAATCGCTGAACACGCCGTGTCAGGCCACATAGGGTGCTCACTCATCCAGTAGCGACTCATATTGCCCTGGTCCGCTGTGGGATCTATGAACATCATCTGCATACCAGAGCCATGACCAGAGTATATCATCCGCGTGCGCAACAGCCGCCTCAGCGCGGCAGTACGCTTGATCAGTCGCGAGCCGCCGTCAAGAAGAAGAAGCCGTACAAGATCGTGCTAGAGGCGGTAACCCAAGAGAAGAAGAAGCTACATTCCATTGTCCGTCGGCGACGCGATTTCATCGTCATATAACACCACTGACTGTAGAATAGCTGACATACGCGTCCAACGCCCCCACTGGCTTCGGTTTCATCCCAGCTGGACACCCCGAATTCACAGAATGGTGCAAAGAGCAGTGTCGACAGCGCAACCTTGACGTCCACATCGTCTCTGTGAGCATCCGGTCCCTCCCAAGCCAACAGGTCATCTACTGACAGCGTCGCAGGCCAAGCCGAAGAACAAAACCCACTCCGATCCCGAGAAGTTATCCCACCATGTCCACCGAGTCGGACACCACTTTCCTCTCACCATCATCGAACTTGCCTGCAACAAGTTCGGATATCTCTACGATGAGAGACGCGGCCTGCGGAAGGACAAAGAAGGTGACAGAACCAACTGGATAGCCCAAGAGTTTGAAGACTACTCTTCGCGGCAAGTACAACGAGGGCATCCCGCCACTGAGAAGGAGACTAAGGGCTACATCCACGGCGCCGTTCGCGAGATGTTTCCCAAGATACCAGAGGCAGATCTACAAGCCATTGTTTCTCATGCGTTTGAGGAGGGAACTAACCGGGTAGGTAATGCTAAGGAGCTTTCGTTGGCTCGTAGGGTGCAACTCGCAGTTGTCGCGCATATCCGCCACACATACACAGACTACGATAAGCTGCTCAAGACTGACGGCTGGTCGGAAGCCCGTGGCCAAGTCGAGAAAGTCTCTCTTGCGAAACTCAAAGAGTGGCGAGATGAAGACGGAAAGCAAAGCAACGAACTTGAGGAAACCTTCCGTGAAGTCATTGTTCTTGACGATGATGATGAAGCTAGCAGCGATGAAGGCTCCATGGCCACGCCTGATGAGCGCGAGCAAAGCATGGAAATTGTTTCCAGTCGTGCTACTGCGCGCGATCTACAGCCGGAACTACATGCTAACTACCCGAGTGGGGATGTCCGCAACATGAGACCTTCATCAAGAAGAACCATTGTCCTTCCGCGCTATGCTCCTCCTCCACCGCCACCTGTATTATCTGGCACCTCACGTTTCCAGTCACCTATGCAGCAGCCTTTCCAATCAGTGCGAACGAGGACAAACGATCCGTAAGTGCATACGACAGCTGACATCAACTTTAATACTCACAACTGTAGGCGAGCGAGACCAGCCGAGGCTGGCCAGAGTGTGAGAAACGCACAGCCGATCGTGCGTGAGATCAACGGCCAACTATACCAAGTGAGTGTTCGACAACCAAGCTCTATGAGCGAGAGAAAACGGTATCCTAGTCCTTGGCTTTTTCTTGAGCTAACACGCATAGCTACAACCCATCAAGGAAGATCGTGGTGCGTCGAGGTCACAGTATAACGACCCTCCTTTGCACGCTGCGCCTCGTCGCGTACAGGAAGGATATGTTCAGCCTCCATCACCTCGTCACAGTGCCTTTGACAGACCACTAGCGCACCCAAGGCGCCCATCAGACCAAGATGTTGTGCTCCCTTCTGTTGAGCCTGAGACAGTCGATTTGACATCACCACAACATATTGCAACTTCTCAGCAGCCTGCCCGAAACCATAACGCGAATCCGAACAGAGCATATAACGAGCTGCAATCGCCAAAGCGAAAAGCGCTCCCTTCTTTTGCGGATGACAGACAGTCTCAGGCCGAGCAACACGCCAAGCGTCTAAGGCCTGTATACCGTGAGGAAGCTCGCCCCCGGACTTTCGGAGATGATCAAGCAGGATTCCACATGAGCCAGCGCATGGCGCCCAATTATGGGCCAAGGCCACCGCCGCCCAGAGAGCAAGTTATTGATCTGACCACCAGTCCTTACCAGCCACCTTCTAGTGGTGGTAGAGGTTACGATGTCTCTGCACGCCCGGTTGCGCCTGCTGATCCTCGTGGATATGCATATGCTTCTGGACCGTCTCACCGAATGCATGCGCATGAAGTGAGAGGTGCACAGTATGATGTACACCCTGTTGATCCGTCTCGTGCTTACGTGCCTGACAATAGGATGTATGAGAGGCGCGTCCAGCCGAACCAGGACTACATTCCGCTCCGAGAGGATCGGCAGCCACGACGTCTTGAAGATGAGAGTGTGCGATACTTGAGGAGCGGTGTACGTTATGGCGGATGATTGCTTTGACATGCATTGGTAGCAGGACGGGCGGAGTTATGCGGTTTTCACTACGGACGATACCCTTTTCCTTCTGTTTATTGCGTTCCCGGAGTCACGCATCCTGGAGATTACCGGTTCCAGTCACTCGCATGTCGCGTGTCGTATGATCTGGTTGCAAACTCAGTGCATACTATTGCGAATAGCGAAGCGGATATTGTGCATTGGAGATCATGGTTGGGCGATTGCCACATATCAGCATGACGACAGCAGATGTTTGTCAACTATGGATGGTAACCAACAGCTACTGGTTGAAGGTAGTTGTACGATTGAAAGGAACTCATGTATGATAATACGAAGCCACCAAAGACGTGCGCAGAATAAACAAAATTACTAAGATACTACCTCCCAACTTGAGTGAATGTTTGCATTTGTCTACATGCTCATTTGATCCAAGCAACTACTTATGCATTTGCGCGTACTTCTCAATGACGCGCTCAACCACTTTCCTCACCTCAGCGGCATCTAACTTTTCTTTCCGGTCCGGTGTGTATACTCCGTTCACCTCTTGCTCAATGTCTGTAAGCTGCGTATACACGAACCCACAGCAATGCCCTCCGTCTACAATTCCGTCCATCATCTTTTCGATGCGCTTTAGCAAGTCCTTGGGATCAGTAGCAGTGGTGTAACCCCAGTCCCTCTTCCTATCCTCTTCACCCGCAGCCGATCGCGCAATGTTGACACCGCCAAACTCTGTGCAGATAACAGGTGCACCAGGAGTATGTTTCGACCCAGGATCCGACAAGCTCTCGATGGGTGCAAGGAAGGTTGGTCGGTTCGACTGCTTCTTCATGATACCGTCCAATGTCGAGCAAGTCTTTGTCAGTTCATCTGCGTCGGCGTAGTCATGGAACGTTGTCAGGTCAGTGATGACGTGTTCCCAGCCACAGTTGTCGTTGATGGGTCTTGTCGAATCCAGCACTTTGGTCGCATAGTACAAGCTCCTGATGTGGTCTCTCTGCTGCTTGCTCGTATGCAGATCGGTGTACGCCCAGGACTCATTGACTGGCGTCCAAGCAACGACACAAGGGTGGTTGCGATCACGCAAGACCGCTTCTCGCCATTCTTGATCCATTCGCTCTACATACGCCTCGGAGAACGCGTATGCGTTTGCCATTTCACCCCAGACTAGTAGTCCGAGTCGATCGGCCCAGTAGTGGAATAGTGGGTCTTCGACCTTCTGGTGCTTGCGGCATCCGTTGAAGCCCATCTTCTTGGTCAACTCAATGTCCAGCTTCAATGCGTCGGAAGATGGAGGTGTCATGAAGGTTTCAGGCCAGTAGCCTTGGTCTAGGAAGAGCGCTTGGAAGTATGGACGGTTGTTGAGTCGGAAGGTGGAGTTATCCCAGTGGAGGGAACGCATTCCGGTTGTTGTGTGGACTTGGTCGATGACCTTGTCTTCATTATCGTAGAGACGGATAGTCAGATCGTATAGAGTGGGGTGCTCGGGAGACCAGAGAGCTAGGTTGTTGAGCCATGCTGACGGGTCGGAAGTTGGAGCAGTAGATGTTAGGCTTGCAGGCAACTGCGAAATCTGGGAGTCAGACAGTCGCATGTTGGTGCTCAACGATACGGTGTCGGAGTCTCGTGGAAGAGCAACCTTCTCTGTCTTGCTGACGGGCACGCCTGCCAGGCTGGCTTCGAGCTCTACACTGTATGCATGTCCAGCAGGCCTTCCAATAATCTTGATGCTAGCTACCAGCTTGCCGCTCTCGATATCATTGCTCTTGAATAGCGTGCCCGCGCTTGCATCTCCAATCGCCACAACAGGCACTGACTCGAGCCACACGCTTTGCCAGATACCGCCACTGGGTGTGTAAAAGATGCTCTCTGGCTGGGCCTTCCAGTACTGCTTTCCTCGCGGTTGTGTCAGATCATGCGCAGAATCAAATACGCGGATGGTGAGTCGTTGAGCCTTCTCTTCCGTGAAAGCATCCGTGACATCGATGTCAAAAGGCACATGTCCACCGCGATGGCCACCAAAGAAGCGCCCATTAAGCCAGATCTTAGCTTCGTAGTCGACGGCACCGAATCTTAGCACCACACGGTTTCCAGCTGCCTTCTCTTCCATGGCTCTCGGGTCTGCAATGACCCTCTCGTACCACAGCACCTCATGCACGCCCGTCTCCTCGATGCCGGAGGCCGGACATTGGAACACGTAAGGAACCTGAATGTTTCTCTTCTCATGTACAGTATGTTCATTCTTGAACGCATTACCTTGTAGCAGCTCTTGGGTTCCGGCGGCTATCTTGGCTGTGATGCTGTGCGCTTCGGTGTTCTCGGCGCTATTGGTGTTGGTGGGGTTCACGGTGATCCTGTCCGGGAGAGAGGTTAAATGCCATCCTTGGGTCAAGCCAACGTCGTTGTCATCAAAAAGGAATGACCATGGGCCGTTGAGGGGCGTCCATGTTAGATCCTCGCGAAGGAAGTCGGGACGGGGGTAGGAAGGTGGGGCTGCGGGTGGCATGCTGATTTTCTGGGTCTTCAGAATATATGGGATGCGATGATGGAGAAAGGAAGATGTTACGAATGAAGACGTGTTATAAAACTTAGCATTCACGTGAACTTGATGCAGCGTGGTGGAGGTGTGGAGAGAACACTGGGTCGAGTGAGCACCAACCCGATTGGGACTAGACTGGTATGGGTACCTAGGTACATTGATCCATGGATCATCGCTTTGGATCGTTGCCCTTCCACTTTCCATCTCCTTCAGAACACCGTTCATCAACACAACACCGCGACAAAACAAGTACATTAACCTAGTCGCGTACCACGTTACTAAAGCCAGTACTACTGGCTGTTCTTCGCTCCATGCTGTGCGCTAGGCTCATTGTTTCCTCCAGTCAGAACTTCCATGCTCGAGCTGGCGCTTTTGTTGAGCGCAGTGCTACGGATCTGTTGTGGATGCTCGATATGCACGACAGATCCATCAGGGCGAGTGTAATGCCCAGACGACACCGTCCAAGGGCTTTGAGGCAATACCACAGTGGTTTCTGGACACTCTATTAACAGCAAGCTCAAAGCAATCCAAGAGAAAGCCGAAAACTTACGACGCATGCCGCCCAAAAAGGCGTTGATGTCAGCAAGTGAACTTCCATCGCTTCCAGTTGCAGAGACATCTGCACTGGTAGGCTTCCCAGAGGAGATGGCGGTGCTTGGCTTAGAAGTCATTGAAGGCTACAAGATCGTTGTGGGCAGCTTCTTGATTTTGGAAGTATGATTTACAGGTAAGTATGAAAAACCACACTTCTGCGGTGACGAACCATTTATACGTACCTTTACCGCGATAATGTACAGCTTAAGGGAGGGCCTCTCAAGGCGTCCCCGTGTGTCAAGAAAGAGATAGCTCACACAGTGACATAACCGTTATGTTAGGGGTCTCAGCAGCTCTTGGGTAGCTGATTCGGTTCTCTCAAGAGCACGATATGAGATATTGGGGGTCTCAGTATCTTCATGCGTGGCGAACGAGGGCCTCAGCGGCTTCGATGCATCTCTTAGCTTATCAGCTAAGGCCGGTGAATGAAGACATTACTCAAGCTTGGCCTTTGAAAAGCGAAAGTGCGGAGCATGGCCTGTGAACGATCGAAGACACGGTCCATCGTCGAGGGTCTCAGTACGCCAGCCTTAGCGAACTCCGTGTAACCGTCGGCATTACTGCACACTGAACTTAATTTGATACAGCCCATGCGCTAGATTGAGGCGACTAATCTGGGGAAAGAGAATGTTGGTATTGGTGAGAAATATGTTATTAACCCACTGCAAACAGAAACGCTTCGTGTATGGAAGAAACTAGACAGGTCCGCTACAGTCTACACTGATGCGTCAATAGCTATTAACGACATCCGAACGCTATGTAGATATCTGAGCTGACTGCTTTCGGTAGATTTTCTTTTGCTTTTGCTTAGATGGGACAGACATGTGGAGGCCGGGCCCAGGAGGCGCTCAAGTCTGCTCACCGTTTGAACATTTATCACAAAAGAGGGCCTCAGCTAACAAGACCCACCCAAGTCTCCGTGCATGCCTAAGTACACACTCAGTAGCAAAGGCGTCTCGGCGACAGTCTAAGCCTCGTCATAAGGCTGTGCGCTGGCGTTATGAGAAGACTAAGACCTTGCGATCACGGTCACCGGAATTGTTCCTGGGCTGTGACTACGCCTCTGCAGGACGTGGGCCAGGTTTGCAGGGAAAGAGGGGGTCTCAATCAGCTTGGAGCATGACCGATCCAATGTAAGATCGTCAAGTCCAACGAAAGATGCGCCACACCGAGGGGCCTCAGCTGGCCACAAACTGTTCTGTAGACTTGATTGGATGATGCGTCACGTCGCCGATCATGCATGCATGTGCACGTCGACGCCAGATTGAAGGACGCGCACGGACATGAGGCCCCCTCCCCGGCCCCACTGCATTTCGACATCATTCAAAAGCGGACGGCTTTCCTCACCAAATGTCGCTACTTCTATTCCAACAGGTGTGTGCGATAGTCTCCCAAGACGGCATCAGTTGCCCCGGACGCACTTGCCCTCCTGGGCTGCGTCTGAGGCCACCTAGAAGCCTTCGGTGTCATTCACCTTTTTCTGGAGTGAGTTCGTATATGTTCTTCTTGTCTACGAAGACATCTCTAACATGCTTTGTCAGATCCAAATCAATCCAAGATAGACGTAGCGCGAGGCTACGGTAGCCTCGCGCTGTTTCGATCCCGACAGCACATCATGATCATCTGAACAACTGTCCTCCACTCCTCCAACAACGCTTTTGGTGGTACCCTCTTCAAGATATATGGTTTACGAAGGATTTACTCGCGGAAAGCAATCAAGGGCCCGACAATATCAAGCCGTCGGTCTTGATGACTGTGGAATCACTGGAAATTGCCCTCCGAACTTCTCATGTGTCTCGACACGTTCTATCCTGCCCAATGATCTCTACTGAGGCACAGAAAAATGTTAACGCTCCTAATGCTTGTTTGTACACGCCACATGATTCAGTCGATGATATCCATTTACTCCGCGACGATCGGTCCATCCCGGCCCATCGTAGCAGGCGGTTTAACGAAACTTCGGAGCATTCTATGGACCATTCACCTCAATCATCTGGTTCTACCGCTGCAGCTTTATATCTAACTCATGATGGTGGTAGAGTTGTTGTCCCCACTCAGCAGCTTCAACGCCGGTACATCCAGGAAGGAAGGAAGAAGCATCCCTGCACTGAATGCTCCCGGAGCTACGACCACCGCAAGAACCTGCGCGATCACATACGAAGCAAGCATACCGATGATCGATACGCATGCCCCGTTCACGGTTGCAGGGCCAGCATAGCACATCAAAAGAACCTCAAAAGACACATTGAAAAGCACAAGAAGTTCCTCAACAACGAAACCACACAATCCAGAGTTACACCACCACCACCATGAGTCGATACAACCGTTGAGAGTGGGGTTTTGCTGGACCAATATGGCCAACGCTGGTATGCCCAGGTGAATTGGCTCCGTTTTACATGCAGCGGAGGCGTTGAAACCGAGCATATTGGGTACACTGCCACTGTTCGCGGTTGAACAGTGCATTAGTCGTACTGCAGTATCACGATATAAGAGAAGCAGTACTTCCAGCAGACCTCGTGAGTCTAGGAAGTTCTATGATATTTTCCTTTGTAGGTTTTCCAATGGCGTCTGACTACGACAAGTCATGCCCTCATGCTTGTTGTTTGCATGTTATACGATACTATAGAAGTAAATAAAGAATTCAACGAACCAACGTTTGTTCTGACATAGCCTCCCTTCCTTCGTTTGAACCAGTGCACCCATATAGCTCCATGCTACTCCGTAAATTCAAACGGAGCAAGTCCCACAGCTCGAGGAGCTATTACCCATTAGCTTGATCTCATCTCGTCAGTGATGGAACCCGACTTACCGATGTACGATGGTTTAACAACGTCTTTACCAGTGACCCTCTTGATATCCGCAAAGACGACGTCCATAGGAAGAAACATTCCTTGTCCAGTACCAGTCACTCCGAAGAGCAGACCGAGTTGTGTGCCTGATCCTTCGTGCAATACTATACTGCCATTGTCACCAAACTCAGCGAAGTCCTTCCTCTCGTCCCTGCTAACCACGCCGAAGCATGCAGCCACATTTCTCGCATCCATGCCATAAGCGCCCGAGATTTCCTCGTCTGCATCAGGATTGATGATGATCATACAAGCGTTAATAGTGCCGGCCGTCCAGCCACTCGTGCGCCCATATTTGGCGACATGGACTTCTTCTTTGTTAACATTGAAGGTTGACCATTGCCTGCACCGCTGCGTTGGGACAAGTTTCGTCTTGGTAGAGTAAACATCAGGCAGACTGTTGGTAACGTCGCGTTTTTTCGTGTCGTTCATACGAATTAACGCCCAGTCGAGTGGGAAGACGAAAATGGGCTGCAACGCCTTCATCTTGTCTTTAGATTGGCCGGTGTCGGGATCTGAAGCATACTTGTTGGCCTTGATAGTTCGGCGACCTGAGCCTGCGTAGACGTAGCCAATACGCCGGTCGAAGCTTTCGCATTTCTTGTACTCTTCATCCTTCTTTTCGTGCAACATCTTGCATTCCACATCTCCATTAGCAGCGTAAGTATGGTAAAGCGTGATCTGTCTTTGCAGCAATTTGAGGTAGCCGTGATGGTCGAGCGTCGCTGGCGATACCATGGGTTGAGGTACGTTGGCCAGGGTCTTGTCGTTGACACCCAGAGCCTTGTTGGCCGTGTTAGAGACGACGCTGTCAAGTCGTGCATCGCGGACGCCGTGCCAGCTCGTTATTCCGCATCGAATGCCGCCGGACAGGGTCACAGATCCACCCAAAGTACTGCAACCTGTTTCATCACCCGAGATTCCAAGAGAGGATCCCATATCGGCCTTTTTGACGTAGGATGAGCCATTGACGCTGTCGGTCAAGCTGTTTCGCCTCTTTGCCCCCAGCATCGTTCTCCCACACAGTATTTCGATGCCGAATTCGGGAGCTCTCTTGGCAATCTCAGCCACAATCGAAGGTACTACGATATCGAACCATTTGGGATCGCGCGCAGTTGGTGTAGTGACGACAATTGTTGGTGAGCACTCCTGGCGATCGTCGATCAATCCTCGATGGAGAATCTCTACTGAAAGCCATTCATGCTTGCTCAACAAAGACAAAACATCTGGAGAAATGGCTTCCCATTGCTGGTGTATATTGTGCTCATCATGGCGGATGGGGAAAGACATAATGCCAGAGGGGTGCCTTGCTCGATAGTCTATACATTCAATCTGTACATCCTCCGTCCAGGAATTTTCGCGGAAGCTGCCTCTAATCCTGATGATAGCATCTTCAATCTCATGACGAGCGTGCTTCAGCATGTCGACCCGTATCAAGAGCGTCAAATGCTCTATATTGTCGTTCTCCTTAGTAGCATCCCGAGGAACTCGGAACGCAAAGTAGAACGCGTAAGCCCCCCTGAGCAAGCCATGTGCTATCAGAATATCTTGCACATCATGCAGTATCTGATATGAGCCTGGTATCATCCATCTCGCATCAATGTCGGTGTCCATCGGCAGAGGTGCAAGTGTCGGCCAGCCCATACGATATGGAACGTGTCCGGGGTCCATCTCTTTGCGAATCTCCTCGTCGGTACGAGATGTATAGCGCCTGCGTTGGGACATGGTGGGAAGTAGTCGATGAGTTAATCTAGTTCTTGGGAGATGGTCGCGGCCTAGGTATACAGTAAACTGCTTTTGCCTCGTACGACGAAGAAGTTCGATAGGCTGGCTGGAGTCTACGTTAATATTTAACTGTGGGATTAGAAGACCTCAAAGGCGATGTAGCTGCCTAGGCTTTCTGTGAAGATATACTCTGTGAGAAGCTGTTATTTGATATTCTCCATATAGGTGCTGGGCGTAGTGGCATCCATGGTACTGCGATGACATAGAGCGAGACGAGCCACTCATGACTCCCGAAATACATAACCACCACATACGCAAAGGTGATCCTCATCAAGTGAGAGAGATCGCAATTCTCAGACTCTAGCGTAGTGGTAGAAGCTGTGGAAAGCAGAGCATAGGCCTGTGGAAGAGAAATTCGGCCCAAGCCAGTGTGTACCATGGTCACACAACCTGCGATGTCGTTTTGATCATTCACATGTTTTGAACTCGAATAAAGTATTGGACCGAGGATTCGGCGCGATCCATTACATCATGAACCGACTGTGGTACGTATCAACCTCATAGAGACCTGTCACCCTTCACGGATATCTGGTCAGAGACGAACAACGACAAGGCTCCCAGGCTTCCCACATGGTATCGAGACTGCTACCTTCCCTTCCCGCATCGCGTCTTTATTCTCGATATGTCGGTCATCCACTTATCGGTTTCCTGGCCCATATCCCATAGATAGCGGATAGCTACTTCCAAATCTAGCCTCGAATCGAAGGTCACGGCCGTATCGTAGGTATCCGGCATAGTACCAATCGACCGCACCGGGACCACGCAGGCGTTTTACACCTCTGCGTCTGCCGCGATAATTCCCCGGTCCCATCGGCTGGTAGCCCAAGTCTACATCAAACTAAGAGAGAGAAAATTAGCATTGTGTCACTGAATAGTTCTAGCCTCGTGAGGAGACGAGAAACATGTCGATATTCGCAGGCCTGCAGCATCATTGTGTAGTAACAGCTCAGTAATATTTTGGGGGTATCTAGTAGGTAAATGGGAAGATAGATGTTCAATGGCCAAGTAGGATAATAATGGTGGTGCGAGAAGCTCTTTCGCGCAACAGCCAGTGTTATACGCGCGAAATTCACTTGCTCAACTCACTGATGGCTCGTCAGCCTGGTCGTCGGAGTCGTCGGATATCTCGATGAGGTCTTCGGCGTCGCGCCTAGGCCTCTTCTTGCTGGCTTTGCCGCCGGAGCCGACGGCGTCGAGGAACTCGTTGTTGTCGATCTTGGACTGGAGTTTGGGCGCGGATGCAACGTCTGCGAGGAAGAGGCGGTCGTTGTACGCATCAAAGGCTCGCTCGTCCTATAGCATGATTAGCTCATCACCAGCGAGATGGAGCGCAAGACGGAAGGACGTACGTTCTCGTCGTAGTAGTCGAGCCTCAGCCACTGCTCTTGGTTGGTCGACTTCATGAAGGCCTGAGTCAGCTCTGCGGCAGTGTCACCACCCGTCTTCTTGACTTGGGCGAGGAAGGCCTTTGGTTCAGCGACCTTGGCGCCTTCCTGTGACTCCTTCTCGCGGCGGCGCTGGACAGCTTCTAGCTGGGCGGAGGCGTCGATCTGGTGGAACTGTGTGCGGAGCTGGACGAGGCCGTTGCAGCGTGTGAGGTGGAGCTCGTCTGCGCCGAGTCAGTCTTGGAGCGAGTGTTGTTGTCGCGCGCTACTTACTATCGCGGAAGGTGCCGAGCATGTAGCTGGTGCCCTTGCCGTCGTCGTGCATGATCTGGCCACCGAAAGTCTGCGTGTTGAGGACGTGGCCCTTCTCGTTGGCGTCCTCGAAGTGAGTGACGTACTCCTCAAAGTTGTCGTCGTCCTCGGTCGCAATGGGCGCTGCGGGGGCTCCTCCCTCGCCGGCGGCGCCAGGGCGGTTGGCGCTACGCGGCATGGTGCGCTCGAAGCCGGAGGCGATACCGAAGGCCTTCTGGCCAAAGCCCTTGGTCTTGCGCATGGCCTCGCCCCAGCGCACGCCGGCGACGCGGTTGTAGTTGCGGTGGATGTTGACGGGCACGTCGACCTCAATGAAGCCCGACTCTTTCTTGAGGCGCAGCTGCGAGGGCTGGCTCTCGGTGGCCTTGGTGAAGGGCTGGTCGGGCGGGCGGTTCAGGTACTGCAGCACGTACAGCTGCTGCTCGGCCATCTCGGGGGTGATGTAGACGTCGTACTCAGCCACGACGGGGTCCTCGTCTTCGATATCCATGGCCGCTGAGTTGGCCATTGTGTTAGCGGAGTCTGGCTTGGTGTTGTGGGGAGCGAGGGCTGGACGTACAGGCCATTTTAAGTGGGCGCGTCGGGGCTGCAAGCAAAAAGAGTCGCGGTCACCCAAAGTTCCAAAAGTCCAAAAGTTCCAAAAGTCACGGCCGCCCCGCAACGCGAAGTCGCGTGGAGCCGCGGCCCGTGCAGCTCAATGACGGAATGCATCCGATGTCTCCAGCCCGCCAACCACGATAGTTCTATTCTGTACTTTGAGCTATCCACAAGCTCTAACAGATATCGCCATGGCTTACATTGCACCCATCCACCGGCCAAGCAGCGTCCGGCATGCGCTCAAGCTCAACTTCCTCGCCCCGGAGGAGGATTGCCTCGTAGTCGCGTAAGCAGTCCGCGGGTACATGCACCACTATCTCTCCAATGCTAATACGATTGCAGCAAATCCAACAGACTCGAATTCTACACGCAGACCTCCGATGGATTGGCCCTCCAACACTCCAAAGCCATCTATGGCAAGGTCACCATGCTCCAGAAGCTCCGCCCAGCCCTATCGCCGACCGACCACCTCTTCGTTGGAACCGATCGATACATGTACTTCACCCTGTCATGGAATTCCGAGAAGAAACAGCTACAAACGGAAAAATCATTCGCGAGCGTGGCCGACAATGCCGCAAGAGAGTCGCAAACGGGCGAGAGGTGTCACATCGATCCAACGGGGCGATTCATGACTGTCGAGGTCTACGAGGGCATTGTCACCGTCATACCGCTAGTCCAAAGGGGAAAGAAGAGGAAGCAAGAGGCTGATATCGCCCATCTGGGAGACCCTCAACCAGTCAGACTACCCGAGATGTTCGTCCGCTCGTCTGCCTTCTTGCGCCCACGGTCTTTCGACGACAAGCCCAAGATGGCGCTACTATACGAAGACACACACTCCCAAGTCAAGCTGAAGTTACGGGAACTCACCTACGCCGGCGAAGAGGTGGACCTACAAGAAGGCGAGACCTGCAAGACCGAACTGGAGCTTGGCTCGAGCCACCTGATACCCGTCGAGGAGCCTTCTCACGGCCTGGTAGTCATCGGCGAAACATCTATCGGATACTACGACGACGAGAGTGGGGAGCTCCAAACTGAGCCACTAGATGAGGCAACAATCTTTGTGGCTTGGGAACGCATCGACGCACAGCGATTCGTGCTCGCCGATGACTACGGTCGCCTATACATGTTCATGTTGGTCTTGAGCAGCCAAGGCAAGGTCCAATCATGGAAGCTGGACGTAATCGGGGAGACATCGCGCGCATCTACGCTGGTATATCTCGATGCTGGCTATGTCTTTGTGGGATCGCATCAGGGCGATTCGCAAGTCATCAAGATTGCAGAAAAATCGATGGAGGTCGTCCAGACATTCTCCAACATCGCGCCTATACTTGACTTCACAATCATGGATATGGGCAACAGATCTGGTGAAGGGCAAAGCAATGAATACTCTTCTGGCCAGGCGCGCATAGTAACCGGTAGTGGCGCCTATCAAGATGGAAGTCTCCGAAGCGTTAGAAGCGGAGTTGGACTGGAGGATCTTGGTGTGTTGGGCGAAATGGAACAGATCTCTGATCTATTCAGTCTGAAATCCACCGCCTCTGCCCAGTATGAAGACACCTTACTCGTCAGTTTCGTCAACGAGTCGCGCATCTTTCGCTTCGACCCACAGGGCGAGGTAGAAGAGGTGGACGAGTTTGCTTCGCTCGCTTTGGATGAAACGACACTGGCCGCTGCGAACATCTCACAAGGCCGTGTGATTCAGGTTACAAACGGACGAGCCCGAATTTGCGATCTCGACGGCGGAATGATAACGTCAGAATGGATGCCAATGGGTGGTCAGGCTATCACCGCTGCTTCAATCAACGACAGTCATGTTCTTGTCTCCTTAGGAGGCGTCACTATCGTTTCTCTGAGTATGGCGGACGGTCTGCAGGTTGTCAAAGAGAAGAAATTTGGTTCCGAAAGTCAAGTCGCCTGCATTGCTCTTCCGTCAGTCTCGAGCTCGATATGCTTCATCGGTTTCTGGAGCAACTCCCAACTCGCCATATGCTCTCTCGACACCCTGGAAGCGGTCAAGACAGTCCAGATCTCCGAAGACTCCGTTCCCCGCTCATTGCTACTGACTCAAATATTTCCGGAACAACCGCCATCCCTCTTTGCCGCATTAGCAGATGGCAATGTTGTCACATACGCCTACGATCCCTCAACACATGAGCTATCAGGAAGGAAGAGCATCGTTCTAGGCACGCGCGAAGCTAGTTTCCGTGCTCTACCTCGCGGCAACGGCCTATTCAATGTCTTTGCAACATGCGAACACCCTTCCTTGATTTACTCGTCAGAAGGCCGTCTTGTATACTCCGCTGTTACAGCAGAGAAAGCGACGACAGTCTGTCCTTTCGACTCAGAAGCATACCCCGGATCTGTAGCCATCGCAACCTCAGAAGACCTCCGCATCGCTCTAGTAGACACCGAACGGACAACGCATGTACAGACGCTAAAGGTCGATGAGACCGTACGACGGATAGCATACTCACCTAGTCTGAAAGCTTTCGGTCTTGGCACTATCAAGAGGATACTCAAACATGGCGAGGAGATCATGCTAAGTCATTTCAAGCTCGTGGATGAAATCCAGTTCAAAGAGCTCGACACTTATGCGCTCAACGAAGAAGAACTGATCGAATGCGTCATGCGCTGCGAACTCCCAGA